CCTGGCCTGGCCTTACGCAACACCTACCTCTGCCTTAGCCTCCTGGTAGCTGGCATGTGCCACCATGCCAGTGTAAACTCTTTTTTGATTTAATACTGTCTATCCAAATGTTTTAATACTAACACAAGAACTGTGGAAAATACATATTTTTTGTCAGTATAAAGCCTTATCTGACATTCTACTAAATGCCAGCAAAATGTCTCAAAGTCCACCTTTTGGAAGGTAGGTTCTAATCACATATCGATGGGGTGCTACTCTATGCCAGACAATTTACATATACTATCCCATTTCATCTTCATAACAATCTTCCTCAGTTCAAAAGTTTGGAAAGGGTACAAATTAGGATACCTTTCAAATAAGTAGATAAGGGATTTATTGGAAAGCTATCTGATTGCTCATACTCTAAGCAAAAAGCACAGAGCTGGGAGTTCTGGTACTAAGTGAGAAGAAGGGAGGGGAAAAGAGTGAATTTGGAAAGAAGATGCAATGGTGGTCCAGCCAAAAGAAGGGAAGGGGAAAGACTACGGGGGCCCCGCACCTAGGCCATCTGGTCTCCTCAGATGTGCCCCTTGTAGGATCTCTTTCCAGCAGCTCTTCCATCAAGTAGGTCCTGTCCTCTCTTCTACTTCCTGTCACTGCCTAGCCTGAGTTACCATCTGCCTGTCACCTGGGACTTGTTTCCTAGCATTGTCCCAAGACAGCTGCACAAATCTGAAAACGTATAAGACATTCTCAGACTCTAACCTTTATGGTTACTCTCTGGCCCGTTGGCTATTACTGGAGTATGAATTCTTTTGAAAAATAAAATCTCTCTTTAGTTTCATGAGAGTCTTTTGGAGAGGGGCAAGATAATGGTATCTCTACTGCAATCTCTGAAAGCCAATATCTTTTTCTTTTTAAAATTAACATCATAATGATGATGGACATTTAAAAATAAAATTCTTTATTTTATTTTTTGGGTACTCAATCACTGAGCCACCTCCCCAGCCTATTTTGTATTTTATTTAGAGACAAGGTCTCACTGAGTTGTTTAGCACATTGATTTTGCTGAGGCTGGCTTTGAACTCATGATCCTCCTGCCTCAGCCTCCTGAGCTGTTGGGATTATAGGAGTGTGCTACCACACCTGGCAATAAATTCTTAATAATTAGTAGAGAATGCACTTTAATAGTAGTTTATATAAAATTAGTTACTTGTATCTTCTTAAAGTATATTTTTTTTAACTGGGAAATACAGTTATCTATATACTAGTGCAGCTATACAAAATGTGTATAGGGAAGTCAAAAATGAGGAAACATTTTGATGTTTTCAGGTGGTGGATTTGTGAGCATTTTTCTCCTTAAAATCATGTTCTTATTTTTATTGTCAGAATTGTCTTTTAGAAGTAAGCAGGTTGTTAATACTTTGTATATATCCATCTATTGAGTGATGGTTTTAAGATAATCACATGCTAAATAATACACGACTGAACTTATGAGTGTCATATTTATTTTAATTAGAAGACAAACAGCACTTTTGGGAATCTCTTTCTTCTCTTTGTTCTATTTATTTGATACCTCCTATAGGGCTTGATACATGGCAGGCACTCAGTAAATATTTGTTGAACAAATGGAGACTACATCAAATGAAGTGTCAATATTTACTTTTTAAGGACCCACACTTTCTCCTAATGACAACCCTTTTTTACTCGGTAGGCAGGTATACAGATTACTGAGAGTGGTAAATTCCATATTGACAGTGGAGGCACACTGACCATCTACGACGCAGGCCAGGCTGACCAAGGAAGATACGAATGCTTGGCTCGGAATTCATTTGGCCTTGTTGGGGCAAACATGTTTCTTACAGTCACTGGTAGGTATTTAGAGATCCCATTTACAACAACCAAATAAATATGTTTGCACAGCTTCTTGTAATCCTGGTTCATCTTATTACTCATGTTCCTTTTTGCATTCTTTCTACCCAAATGTGTTAAAAATCAAATCAAAGCTATCCTATTATTTTAAAGTTTAAACTCTGTTTAGTGAATATGAAACAAAAACCATTACGCCAAAGGAGCATAACCAGCAAGGATTTGCCAATGTGTCTCATGTTATCTTGGAAGTTGGCAATTATAGAATGTAAGATGTGCTCATTGCCAAAATGTGGAGTGAAAGATTGAAGCATAACACGGAATTTAATGTGTCTGTTACTCTGGCCTAGTATATCCTAGATTAAAATAAAAAGTTAACCAAACGGCTAAGTAAGCTTTGCTATCATCATATGCTTGGAAGCATTTATTACTGGCCCAAACAAGTGGTATTGCTTTCTGCATTTTATCATCATCCTGGTTAAATGGGCTTGCTATAACCTTTTGCTGGTTGATTTTATATCATGTGTTTAAAAAAAATTGCTCGCTATAGCTTTATAAAAAAAAAAAATACCCCCCTTTCATTGGTTCAGTTCAAATTGGAAGAGAGAGAGAATACTTGTAGGCTAATTTGAGTGCAGGGAACTGGAGGCTCAGATGTGGTTATGCAAATGGAAACAAACTGTGATGAAGGGGTTTGGAATGTTCTCTGCAAAGAGGAAGCAATCCAGAGAAACACTGCATGTCTTCTTGTAGGAGTTGACATCCAAGTTTTTTTCTTTCTTTCTTTTTCTTTGAAAGTGAGTTTAAGAACTTTTCCTGTACTGAAAAATAGTGGTTAAAATAAAAACTTCAGTTATAAGTTGCGACAGTGCTGTTTTGGGCTTTGTCAATCATTCAATTTCCTTATAAATGGGCCAATTTCATAAATATGATTTCGCATTTATTTCCCTCTTTTTTCCTAGCCCTTATAGGTGTATAAGAGAGATTGGGTAACTCTTTCATTCTAAATATAAGCCTGATTAAAAAGAGATTATCAAATCCTATCCTTAAATATGTTTCTATTTTTCTATTAAATCAGTAGTCTCATATCCTTCCACTAAAATATTCTTTCGAGATATTAAATTTCTGAGCATTTCATCTGTCTGAATACTGTATGCAAAACATATATTTTCATTAGTGACACATTAGTTTTCATGAATTTATTATATTGTATGGTAAAAATGTACTAACTATAGAATATTATTTTGAAAATTGTAAAAAATGTAATTTAGTAACCAAAAACCAATTAGTCTAACAGAGTAAGAAATTCTTTATTGTTTTTAGTTTCTGAATGCTACAAAATCTTAGTCTCACTCTGATGTTATTCTCTGAGTTCATGTTTTTCTTGATTTAAAATCTTTGGTAGTTGTATTTCTTCTTATAAATTTATGGAGTTTTCTTTCTGCTCTTCAACTATTTACGAGACCCACAAAAAGAATGTCCTTGAGGTATTTTGGAAAAGAGCCATCATAGCATTTAAAGTAACATTGCTATCTTCACAGATGTTAGAGATCTATCCATTAAACAAACATTTTTCTGTATCTGTCTCTGTTTTGCTTCATCACACATACAAAAGACACTAATTGCAGTGAAAAAGCATTTTAGAATCTCTAAAATAAGAATTGCAGTTAATTGACAGAAATTTAACTAAGCATCATTTAATATATTTATAGTTACATATGCATATTTCATATAACTATCATTTAATATATAATATATATTTTAATTTATATAACAATATATTATATATAATTATATATGATTTATGTAAAATGATGGTTAGTTAGAACATTATTTAATATGTACACATACTTTATATATGTGCATGTGTATATGTGTTTCAGTCAGTTTTTCACACTGTGATCAAAAGAAATAACAAGAACAATTTAAGGGAAGGAATAGTTTATCTGGGGCTCATGATTTCAGAGGTCTCAGTCCATAGATGGTTGGCTCCTTTGCTCTGGGCCCAAGGTGTGGCAGAACATCATGGTAGAAGAGTGTGGTAGAGGAAAGTAGCTTAGGACATGGTCACCAAGGACAAATATACACCCGGAAAGCCCATCCCAAAGATCCAGCTCCTCTAGCCACACCTACCTGCCTATGGCTACCACCAAGCTAATCCCTATCAGGGGATTAATACATTGATCAAGTTAAAACTCTTATAACCCAATCTCTTCACCTTTAAACTTTCTTGCATTTTCTCACACATAAGCTTTTAGGGAACACCAAATATCTAAACCGTACACATACACATACACACACACACACACACACACACACAAAAATTATTCAGATTAAAATGTGTTAATTAATCTATCAGATTTTAAAACAGCAATAAATAACATTCATCAATATTCTGTTCTACTGTGCAAAAAAATAAAAAAAATTAAAAACCCAGAAAATCAGGTTATAGGATTATAATAACACAATACAAAAGAAGTTATTTAACCAATATATATGTGTATATTTTGCTCTGGGGACATATATATCAATGTTAGGGGAAATTACTTTAGGTCTGCATTTCATAACACATAAATTTCATGATAGTATTTTTTTATATATAAAGGGAAGGAATGATAAAATAATATAAATTTGAATTTTAAAAAATTTAAGACAAGGAGTATGTGTTTGCTTATAAAATCCAAATTAGGCTGCGTGTGATGACACATACCTGTAATATCAGTGTCTTTGGAGGCTGAGGCAGGAGGATCACAAGTTCAAAGCTAGTCTCAGCAACTTAGCAAGGCCTTGAGCAACTTAGAATGTCCCTGTCTCTAAATAAAAACATTAAAAAGGGCTGGGAATGTGGCTCAGTATTTAAGAGCACTTGGGTTCAATCGCTTGTACAAAAAACAAAACAAATAAACCCCCAATTATCAAAAGAAGGGAAACATATAATATAAAATATACTAATAAAGCATTTTATGGCTTAAACGCTCTCATTTACTAGGTCTTTGTAATGAAAAGGAAAAATGCATGCATTGTAGATTTGTCCAGTCTTGCTTCCCCCACTTAACAGTTATGAAATGCTAGAACTCTGCTGTGTAAAAAGTGATACAGAGTATCACATGTTTTGAGTTTCTATTCAGCATTGGGGAAAATAGCCATAAGAAGTAATCCCAAATGATAAAAAGTACACAATAACATTCTAGATATTATTTATAAAATGTGAATGTTACAGACTGATGTCCACAGCAAGGTATTTATTAATTGTTTTATGATACTGGAGCTTGAACCCAGGGCCTTATGCTTGCTAAACAAGCATTCTACGCTGAGCTATACCCCCATCCCTTTTAACATTTATTTTATTTTTTATTTTGAAATAGCATCCCACTAAGTTGCTGAGGCTGCTATTGATTCTGAGCCTCTTGTAGTTGAGTTACAGGTGTATGCTACCAAGAGCATAGTAGGGCATTTATGATAGCAAACAAACAAAAAACAGAGAGGGAAAGTTTCCATGGTTGCAATATTTTTCAGGAAATTCATTTTTCCCCTTAAGATTTAATAGTTTTTTAAAAAATATTTATTATTTGTGTATTCTGTATGTATTATTAGTTTTAGGTGGATATATTAGTTTGTTTTTATGTAGTGCTGAGGATCAAACCCAGTGCCTCATTCATGCTAGGTGAGCACTCTACCACTGAGCCATCACACCAGCCCCAAGATTTAATAGTTTTTTAAAAAATAATTTAAACAGATTTGGGTAGCCTGTAAGGCTAATACGGTATTTTCTAGAACCTTTTTGTTTAGGGTGTCCTCAGATACTTATACTGGCAAATATTATTTGTGTCGGCACACTTCTTTTTCTTTGCCTAGATAATATTTGGCATCTGAGTGCTACTCATTTTATTTTAGACACAAAGGAAAAAAAAA